AAGGTATTTATTAATGTAAATGAGAGATAACAATTCAACCTAATTCCCCAACTTTATTCTGTGTGTTGATACTGTGTTCCATCATTTTGAATGGCTGTGTTCTATCTCTAAATAAATGAATTCAGAGAAAGTGTGTGGTGTATTAATTCTTTAGCAACTCAAATTTAGGTGGCTGTAATACTCAGACCTACTTTTTTCTCTGTGTATAAAAGAACCTGAAACAGGGTTAACTGTCCGTTTGTGTGCTGAAAACCTGAATTGTTTTAAAGGCGGCAGTTCTACCCTTTTGGTCCTCTGTCAGTAACCCCTGAAATTGGATCCCAGGTAATTAAAGTGATGTTCTCCTAAAGAACCTTTAGTAGATGGGCCAGTTTAGTTTGAAGAATATGTTTAATTCATTTGATAAATATTCTGTATGTCTCCTGTAGGCATTTTTCCTAAGTTGCAAATGGATGCTTTCTGACACAAGATGACATAAAAAAGTCCCTTAACAACAACAAAAAATAGTAATGAAGTATTCTATTCCATATGAGTTACCAAGGGTTAGTGTACTTTATTCAATAATTTAAAATGGTATGATTTCTCCAATATTACAGGCAAGACAATGGCTATGGGCATTTACTCAGAAAAATCTTAATGTTCACACAATCTATACAAGAACATCCATTGCTTTATTCGCAATAGCCCAAACTGGAAACATCCCAAAAGTCCTTCAACTGGTGAATGTTTAAACACACAGTGGTACATCTATACCATGGACTATTAAACAATAAAAGAGGAATGAATTTTTGGTACACAAAACAAGTTGGACTGGATCTCCAAGGAAGTATGCAACTGTATTAAAAAGCCAATCCCAAAAGTTCACATAGAGTATCATTTCATTTATTATAATACACTTTCAATGATGAAAATAAAGAATCAGTGGTTCTTTGGAACCAGGGATTAGAAGAATCCTTGTGGGTAGGTTAAATGATTAGTTCTGCAAGAAACTGCCATCTTCCAGAGTGTTCACACTATCGATGTATGAACCTTTCACTTTCTTTGCATCCTTGCCAGCATTTGGGGTCACTAATTTTAGCAATTCTGATAGGAATATTGTGTTACCTCATTCTGGTTTTATTTTTTTTTTAAGATTTTATTTGACAGAGAGCAGGAACACAAGCAGGGGAGTGGGAGAAGGAGAAGCAGGCTTCTCACTGAGCGGGAGCCCGATGAGGGGCTCGATCCCAGGACAGGACCTGAGCCAAAGGCAGACACTAAACGACTGAGCCACCCAGGTGCCCCTCATTGTGGTCTTTTTTATTAAAGATTTTATCTCTTTGACAAAGAGAACATAAGTAGGCACAGCAGCAGGCAGAGGGAGAGGGCTCCCTGCTGAGGAAGGAGCCCAACGCAGGGATCGATCCTAGGACCCCAGGATCATGACCTGAGCCAAAGGCAGACCCCCCTCATTGTGGTTTTAATTTGCCTTTCCCAAATGGCTAATGATGTTGAATATCTCTTCATTTGCTTTTTTGCCATCTATAGGCCCAATGTCTATTCATGCCTTTTGGCAATTTTGTAACTGGATGGTTTTTTATTGTAATTTGTTGAGTTTTGAGTTAATATATTCTAAATACACATCTTTTATCAGATAAATGGTTTGCAAATATTTTCTCCTAGTCTGTCTTTCCATCTGAACAGGGTCTTTTGCAGAGCAAAAGTGCTTAATTTTGATGAGCTTCAATTTATCAAGATCTAACATGTTTTTTCTGTGTTGTAGTTCCTTTATATTAAACTTGTCACTACTTGGCCAGCTCAACACACTTTTTAGTACTGCCCTGTAACAGCTCTGAAAGCATCCCCATTTACTGGGCAGATGATTTTCTGTGTTCTAAGATGTAAGATGATAAAGAGAAATTTTTGTTCCTTATTAGGGTTCTCCAGAGAAAAAACCAGTACGATACTTTATAATAAATGGTGAAAATGGCACTTCACCCCTGTGGTCTCTCTTACCCCAAACCCAGTAACTCCTGTCTAATCATGGGAAAAACAGGAAACCCAAATGAAGGTCACTCTACAAAATACCATGCCAGTACTCAAAACTGTAAAGGTCTGGTTTATTTGTATAGTAGTTAGTCTGATACCAATTCCATGAAATTTGTTCATTTGTTTTATGGCCTAATATACAACCAATTCTCAAAAAATATTTCATATGTGCTTGAAATGAGTATTTAGGATCTAATTTTTTTTTTTATTTTAAAGATTTTTATTTATTTGAAAGAAAGAGAGCATGAGATGGGGGAGGGTCAGAGGGAGAAGCAGACTCCCTGCTGAGCAGGGAGCTCCACACGGGACTCACTCCTGGAACTCCAGAATCATGACCTGAGCTGAAGGCAGTCGCTCAATCGACTGAGCCACCCAGGCACCCTAGGCTCTAATTCTTAAATGTAACATTCTATGTATGTTCATCACAATGAATATCATTTTGTCATCTTCCCAGTCTGCAGACTGTTTTCACATTTAAGCCTTTTACCACTTGAGTATACCATCCCTATGAAAAACAAGGTGACACACCCTAAAGGAACATACAGCTCTGTCATATGTGTGGCAATACTTATAACCGCCCCCCCCCAAGTGAAAGAAAGTTATAAAGGGGATGAAGATGGGGGAGCACTCTCAAAATCAATTGTCTTCATACTGTGGTACTTGTTTTCCAGACAGTACAGAGACTTCCTCTGGTAAACAAGAGTTTTTAGAGAAATCAGTTTCCAGATCTTCAATTGCCTTATTACTCCTTCCTGAACTCGGATCTGCCTGAAAAGATGCCCTAAGGACATCAAGGCATCATCCCTCTCAACAACTACTTTCCACCTTTAACGAAGATGTACCTCTTACACATTCTGAATCTTACCAAGGCACTTCGGATAAAATCTCGAACACCGAATAAAGACAAAATTTTAAATACCGGTGAGAAAGAATGACATTAGGGAGAAAAAAATCCTGTTGCAATTCAGGTAGTTTCTATTTTTTCACTTTCAAGGAATCAAAAGATGATCTAAGTCACCAGCTGGTAAGTCATTAAAAAATAAAATAGTTCTAGTATATAATTCTGAAGTTCAAAGGACTGAGTGATAGTGCTATAACAAAATTCCTTCCATCGTAGACTTTTTGGTATTATAAAGTTTTTAAGAGTTGTACACTTAGGAAAACAAAAAGGAATGAAACTGATGCTCTTACAGTGATAATCTTCACCTTCAGATACAAAAAAATTGGAGAAGTACTCTTCCCCACCCCATCAAGACCTGTTCACTAAAAATGTTATTTCTGATAAAATTTTACTGTTTAATGTTTGCTAAAATTTGAGTATTAGCGAACACTAAGACCAACCAAAAAAAAAAAAAAAAAATCCAAAGGCAGAACATAGTTTGTTCTCCACTCACCTGAAGTCTACAATAGGTGTCCAAGATTGATGGGTGGCTCTCTTCTAAGCAGTGATTCAGGAAGCCAAATTTCTTCCTTCTTGAATGTATACTCAGAAGCCACATACTCCTCTGCATCAGGCTAGTGGAGGGGTAAAAGAGCAAGGAGGATTGCAGAGGGGAGGTTTTCACAGACCAGACCTGGAAGTTCTGTACATCACTTCCGATTTATTTATCAGAGGTTTATCCGAGGTGCGATTACTGCTATTTATCAGAACTCAGTTACACAGCCACCCTGTTTATGAAGTAGTAGTCTATCTAACTGCATGATAGAGAAAATGGTTTGGATAATTATACTGTCTTGATGAACTGTGTGTAATTGGACACAAACTTCTTTAATGCTTAGAATCTTAAGGTTATAGGAAACAATTTCAAATTTAGTTGCAGAGAAGTGTGACAGTATCTTCGATGTATAACTTCCACACGTAACAAAAGTAAGATAAAATTCTTGGGAGAAGTGGAATGGATGATGATGGATATCAAATCAATATGGTATTTAGATTCCTTTAGATACATTTTAAAAAGCATATAACTATTTTTAAACAGTAACAATTATATTTTTAAGTGGTAGTATTTATTAACAATACCCTAAATTCCTTCCAACTAAAGATGAAAATTTTTAATTTCAACTTAAAAAAGTACTAGAAGGTATTACGTTTTTCAAGATTTTTAGAAGACTTCTAAAGCTCCAAAATGTCCCCCAGGAGAAGAAACTTAATCATATTCCACACTGAAGAAGAGAAGGGAATAAGAAAAGTCTAAAGTTCTCTCTCTCAGGCTCTAAATCCTTGTTCTCACTTTAACAACCTCTAGGAAAAGTGACCTCTATAGCTTACGTAGAAACTAACTTCTGGGGACTTGAATTAGTTCTCCAAGATGCCACTGTCAGAGCCAAATGTTTTAAGATCTGCGAAGGAAGGGTTTCCTCTCTCTCTGCTAGGCTTTACTTTGAATATTTACATCATAGTAAGAGAAATTCCAGGATATAGAGAGACAGAAAATTGCCAAGAGGCAGGCCAAATTTGTAATTACTCTTAAATGGCCCTATAAAATATTCAGATATAAACTGCTCTGCTTCCAGCCTTCTGCCTGAAGGTAGCATTCAACTTGATAAAAGAGGTGGCTGCCTTGCATTAAGCCTCTATAAGCCTACTGAACAACTATTCCAAAAGGAGAAAGTGTTACTGTTTCATCTTCTCTAGGGGCAAAAATTACAGGTCTTTGGGTGGCATCCAGTGATAATGTTCTTATCTCATTTGGGACAATGAGAGGCATACTTCTCTTAGTTCTTTATTAGAAATATAGAAAGCAAGCCAGTATAATTTTTAACACAGAAGAACTTTAAAACACATTAAGTTTAGAGACCTTATGTTCCTTCTTGTAATACACAGTCTATCTCGAGATGAGGCACAAAGATCTTGGTGTGACTCAATAATGAACAACAGACAGTTTACAATTAAAGTCTGTCTACTTCCTATAAAAAGGAAAAATTTTTACATGTGGGTGTCACCTCTAAAGAAGACACATAACAGACACTAGTACGCAACATTCATTATATTTATTTTACTAAATAGTATGGTTCAAAAAAAAAAACACAAACAAATCAGAAAACTTTTACTTAAAACTAGTCCAATGAGATGGATGGGGCTGACGCCATCCCATCCCCCTTCTTTTTATGTGTATGGAGCTGGAGCCCTATCTGACAGCAAGCACTCATGTATACTTTGCCCTTCCTTTGAACATGAATGAACTTCTCTGAACAAGAGAGACAAATGAAGTTTTACAAGATACAGGCACTTTATGTTCCCAGTTTTAAAAATAAGCCAAGTGAAAAATATTTGATAAAAGTAACTGGAACAGACAAAGGTTTAAGAGTTCTACCATTAGTTCTAGTGACTTACACTCAATGCAAACAGACAGCATCAAACAAGTAAAACAAACAAAAGTTTAACTGGGGTTAATGGGCATATATGTAAAAAAGAAATCCAAGTTACTACAAGTGGAGAAAAATGGCCATTTGAATCCAACTTAAAGATAATGCCAACAATGTGCATTAAATTTTGTGTACCTACGTAGCTGAGTAACATCTGAAAGCTCTGCAAGAGTGTGTAAGTGAGAAAAGCAAAAGGTGCTTTTGATTCCACAGTATCTGATTAAACAAAACAAAGCAATTTACAAAAAAAAGTACCAAATGATACTTTAAAATAAATAGTTCATCATTTTGATGAATATATACATGTAGAGTCCACTTCCTGGGGATTTAGCTATCTAAAAGTGGCATATCACTATCCAGAGGTGCAGGAGCAAGTTCACATAAATAAAACAGTGTGGCTTCACTAGCTTCGGCTTCAGTCAATGGCTCCAGGTGAACAAGCTTACTCTGGGTTGGCTCTGGATCTAGGCTGCTATCCAGAAGCTCATCAACTTCTATGGGTTTATCTACAGAGGACATAACTTCTGATGATGCTGTACTCCCCTGTTCAACAGTAGAAGCAGGGTTCCCATCGAGGAATGCAAGAAGTGGAAAGGCAGTGTACTGGATAAGCTGCTTATCTATAATAAAGATTAGAAAAATGCTCTTTTATCACCAGCTTATACAGAGTTCAAGCTGAAGGTGGAAAAAATGGAAACAGCTGTGCATATATGCAATCACTACCCTTATACACCCAAACAAGAAATATACTTTGCGTCAGCAAATTTTAAAATGTACTAGTCAGAAGAGTTAAGTCTTTTATTCAACTATTAAGAGTTCTTTCAGTTCTCCTAAAGTTAAATTAAAAAAAAAAAAGACTTAAAGAACTAGTACCTCACCAATTTAATTCTTTCTATAAGCTGAAACCTTGATACATTATGCATAGAACTGAGAACAGTACATTCTGTGGTCAATTGTTAAATATGGCAAAGACTTTCCTTGGCTCACATTAGTTTCTATGTAGTACTCTTAATTTTAAAAATCTGTAAAAACTAATACTACATTTATACCTACCTGTTTTGGGTTTAGATTTTCTTCCCTCTTCTGAAACTGGCTGAACTACATTGTTCTTGGTAGTTTCTAATCCTTTATTCTCAGACTAAAAGAGAAAAAATAATATAAAAAATACTTGTTTCACATTTTATATATTCCTAAAAATAGCAAAAATAAGAAAAACTGGTACAGTATGTGAATATTGGTATATTATCTGAAATAAAGGGGAAAGGGGAGCAACAGGAAAGATGAACTAGAGAGAAAAAGAGATTTGAATAGGTAAGACTGGTTAAGACCGGTTAAGAAAACTATTGCTATCATCAGTGGCTGAAACAAAGAACCTAAACTAGGAATGACAGTTAAATATGAAAAGAAGGGGCATTTCAAAAGAACAGACAGAATTTGTCACAGGTAAAAGATGGGAATGAATCAAAGATGGCTGGTTTCAAACTAAGAGATAATTCTTTAATCAATTAAACTCAAACAGTTTTGATTAAAAGTATGTATTACTCATCTCTCTTCACTCACAAACAGAATACTTAGCATAAGTGAACATATTTAGAGTAGCTCAGGATGACATGGTGATATCCTTAAAACTATTATTTCTGTATTTGGAAGCCTCAAAGTTGAGGTGAAGTTTCTTCATTTCCTTTTGAGGCTCCTGCAAGTTCTTTTCTGTCATTTAAATTGCTTCTTTGAACCAGTCTTCTCTCCTCACATCTGATTATAAAGGGGATTAAACCTTTAGTGCTGTTTAGTTCTTCAGCGCTCTTTTCAACGATGTTCAAACTGAGGTGCTGAGGTTCAAAATTTTCCCTAAATAGCTGTCCCAGACACCTGCATGCTCATTAAGTATATACGGTGTAAAAAACATACTAATTCCTATGATTCCCCTGATATTCATCATAAAATGAAGCAGCGCAAGTTTCCAGATTCAGCAATAATGGCCCCAAGGTATAATAAACTAAACCTTTCCAAAAATGTACATAAAAACATTTCTGATTTAGCAATCGGAATAAATAAACATTAATGCAATAATACCATCATTATTTTTTACTTTTTAAAATAGGTAGTTTTCAAGGGTGCCACTGTTGTTCTAAAACATATGAGAACCAGGATGACAAAGGGGATTCATCTCCTGTACAAATTCTTATTCATTAGTAGTGACCACTTAGATGGCTCTACTGAAGAGTACAAGTATCCTGATTTATTAGAAAAAAAGTGTTGTAATCTATGTTAATACAATACTTGTCATGAGCAAGGGAATGACAGCTGATGTGCCAATTATTTGAAAACATTAATCTAGATTTCAGAACCATAATGAAAAGTCATTTTCTTTCTATAGCACTATAGAACAATATGCAATTTGCTGTTTAACTGCTATTCCTGAGAACTGTAATTAAGCTATTGGTTTTGGAATAAAGAGGATAATCCAAGAATAAAGAATGATTCAATGTGTAGCAATAAACAAACAGTGTAGCACATTCACTAAATGAATGCATGATATGGGTTCATTTACCTTAAGACCTAACATTTAATAATACCATATTTACTGGGTGCCTGGGTGGCTCAGTTGGTTGGGCGACTGCCTTCAGGTCAGGTCACGATCCTGGAGTCCCGGGATCGAGTCCCGCATCGGGCTCCCTGCTCAGCAGGGAGTCTGTTTCTCCCTCTGACCCTCCCCCCTCTCATGTGCTCTCTCTCTCATTCTCTCTCTCTCAAGTAAATAAATAAAATCTTTAAAAATAAATAAATAAATAAATAATACCATATTTACTGAAACCCAGTGTGTTGAGGTGATCCATAGAAACTTACAAATCCAGGCAAACTGTGGTCCACATGCCAAATTCAGCATGCTGACTGTTTTCGTAAATAAAGTTTTACTGAAGCACAGCCACACTCGTTCTTTTACGTACTGTCTACGGCTGCCGTTGCACTACAATTACAGTATTAAGTAGCTGTGACAGAGAACATACGGCCTGCAAAACTCAAAAGTGTTTACCAACTGGCCTTTTTATAAAAAGTATGCTAACCCCTGATAAAAATTATCCAAATAATCGGGGCACCTGGGTAGCTCAGTCATTAAGCATCTGCCTTTGGCTCAGGTCATGATCCCAGGGTCCTGGGATCGAGCCCCGCATCGGGCTCCCTGCTCTGCAGGAGACCTGCTTCTCCCTCTCCCACTCCCCCTGCTTGTGTTCCCTCTCTCACTGTGTCTCTCTCTGTCAAATAAATAAATAAAATCTTAAAAAAAAAAAATTTCAGGTGCTATTTACTTAAAAAAAAAAATCCAAATATTCAATGTATAATCAACTTTTTAATTCAAAAACTCACAAATTCTTTCAACTCTAAGTTACCCAGGCTATAACTTTGAATATGTAGAAAATCTGGTCAGGCTATCCTCACATGTGACATTAGAAAAATTCTACCCCCTCACTCTAATCACATACATCTAAGTGTTCATTTTTAGACGACAAAGAACAAAAACCAAAATAAAATTTTAAGTTCACTAATCTAGAATTTGTACAAATTTCAGAGGACTTGATTTACACCTTTGTATTCAATAAAAAAAATGGGATTGAACAGTTTGGTATAAATGCAAGATAGAGTATATACCTATTGTAAAAACACCTATTGTATAAGCTATATACAAAGTAACAGAATGATTCTAATCACTTGCTCTTAACAATGTCAAACTGTCCTTATTACTCATTAAAAACCAGTTCTAAAGAATTTCCTGTCAACATCTGCTAATCCCAACTGGAACTAGGAAAATAACAAAACCATTACTTTAAAAAAAAAAAAGTCCAAAATCCATACTTCATCGTTTCAACTTGCCTTACCTACAACTAGTACAAATTAGTTCAAATCCCTGAGCTTCTATTGCATGCTAATAAAATGAAGGAACTTATTTAAGAATACGGGTACCAGTGAATTTTCAATAAAAAATGCTGAGCTGTTTATAGAAGGAATAAGAATGTAAACTGAAGCACATAAAACATGAAGAAATAATATTTTAATAATTTATTTCAGTGATACACCTGAACATGCCAAGTTTAAGTCAGCTGATCTCCCAGCACTTTGAGGGCTCATTTTGTACTGACAGTTAATCAAACACGTGCCTGCAGAACTGGGCAATAACTCACCCCATAACCAAAAGTTATTTTTTCATCTAGAGTTTTACTATCTTGATCACACATATAAGGTAAGAATACAAAATGCTTTTTGTAACTGGGAGTGATACTGCTCTCTACTTACTATGATTTTTTTTCAGATTCTTACAGCTATGGGTCCTGAGCAACATGAATTAAAACTTACTTTTGTATTATTGATGTAATCTGTGGGATTCATCTGCACAGAACTAGTGAAAAGCTGAAAGACCAAACAAGAAAGATGATAAGTTTAAAAAATATTAAAAAAGAATTAACTGTGTGTTCAAAATTTTTATACAGCCATGTTGGGTGAAGAGATGTAGCTCCTGCACTAGGAAGTTTTCATACAGTAAAACAGTTTGAAAGAGAAAAGCAGGAAAGCAGAAAGAAAAACATACAAAAGCGGGGCAAGCTAGCCCATGCATCAGCTGTTTTAAGAATTTCTCCATAAAACAGTGGGGCAAATCACTTAAGACAAAGAGTGGTTTGCCCAACTTCTCCTCTCCTTCATTTCCTTAGTATTTTCTCTCTAAATGCCTTTGGCTTTAAGTGGCACCCAGGACCGAGTTCCTTGCCCTGACAGTAAGCCTTCACTGCTGATTATGTGAGAAATTTACAGAATCTGCTCTATGACGGTGGCTCCTAAATTAAACCTCAAACAGAGCCCTCTGACCAAACGGCATACCTCCTTGCTGGTTTTCACCTCATCTAGCAACAGAAGACGTAAATGCTAAGACTACTGCTTACTGCATGCCTCAGTCCAGCCAGTTTACAGACATAACTTTTAAGTCATAAGCTTCATTCATTCCACAAGGATTTATTGAGCATCTAAGAAATAATTGACATCATGAAGAATACAAGATGAAGACACTATTCCTGCTCTCTAGGAGCTTACAATCTAAAAGAAAAGAACAACATCAAATAGCAACATATCAGACACAATCCATTATTATAATACTAATGGATGGTGGGAATCAAAAGTCCTAAGAAGAAAAAGGAGAAAATCGTGTGTGTGCGTGGGTGCATGCACACACACACACACAAAGATGAAACAAAACATCTTGATGAAGCTATCCAACACATATCAGTCACTGAAGAATGGTTAGGACTTGGAAAGGAGAGAATGGAGGGAAGAATAAATTATAACATTAGCAATAATAGAGAAGGAATGTTTGGGGGGAGGGGGAGGTAAGTTCTAGCAGTAGACAAGATGATCAGTCCAAATAACATAAAAGTTCTGAGTTGAATAGTAAGTTATATGTGTAAAGTTCAAGAAGTAAAGCCAAGGCCGGTCAGAGCGTAAGGCCACATTCTGTCAGCAGTAAGAGCCTTGGAAAAGGCCTGAGCAAGGAAATACAGTGATGAAAGCATTTTAGGAGAATGAACACACCAAATGGTTAACAGGATAGAACGAACTGCAGATAGATTAACTCCTCCACAGTCTCTAGACATTGATTCCTCTCCTTAAAGTTCCATTTTCAAAAAAAAAAGTTCCACTTTCATGATAGCCCTAAAAATATCTCCAGCTCTTTTAATTTCCTCCCTTTCATACTACCTACTAATCCATGAAAAGGAAGAGACTCAGATCCTTTAGAGTAGATAGTTTACATGACCGCCAATCTAATCTCTGCCAAGTTCAGCTTGTCACTGCCTCTGAGACCTGACCAGATTTTGTCCCTACTGAAAGTGGCATCTGTAGAGTATAAGCTACTCACTCCTTCTTTGCCCCATCCAATGTCACCCACTAAATCAGGGATAATGGGGCACCTGGGTGGCTCAGTCATTAAGCGTCTGCCTTTGGCTCAGGTCACGATCCCAGGGTTCTGGGACTGAGCCTTGCATCGGGCTCCCTGCTCAGCGGGAAGCCTGCTTCTCCCTCTCCCACTCCCCCTGCTTGTGTTCCCTCTCTCGCTGTGTCTCTGTCAAATAAATAAATCTTTAAAAAATAATAATAAATCAGAGATACCTTCACGTGTTCCCAGTAGATGCATAGTGTGAAGCGGAAAAAAGTAGACCATACATGAGGAGCTGACACAGTTGGTTGAATCCTAAAGCCAGGCCTCTTCTGCTGACTCTACACGGTCACTCAGAACTGAACTCTGCAGAGAACCCATGAACTCAGCATACCTATTCATGTCCTTACCATCTTTGCCACCTCAGAAAACAAGGCAACCTATGGGTGATTTTTACAATCAGCATAATTCAAGGATGAAATAATGAAGGTCTTAGATGAGGGAGGCAACAGAAAGTAGGGATGATCTGTGAGTGCTATTTTTTGAAAATACACAGGATGTGATGAACAATGAGATAAAGATAAGGAAACCAAATGACTCAGTGATTACCCTCCTGGAAGTCTGATACCACTACAGAAAATAAGAAAGCTGAGAAATGTAGCTCATTTAGAGAACAAAGAAAAGTTTGGGGTTAAACACAAATAATCTAAGGCAAGATCTTAACTGATGATCCCAAAGGCATGGAATTAGAATTCAAGCAAAGTTTACTTTAAAAAACTATTAAGAGCTGGAGATATAAATTTGAGAGCAATCCTATAAAGCCAAAATCCCTTCACAGAGGAAGGATAGAAAAAGAAGAGACATAGAACAAATAAAAAGATAAAAGAATGGGTACCTTGGGGAATACTCACAGATAGAAAACAGGAAAAAGAAAAGCTCTTAGAGTAAACAGAGAATAGTTAGGAAGACAGGAAAAAAAGTTCAGTGCCTCTAAAATCAACAGAAGTTCCACTGTCAAAAATAACCAGTATTAAAAATAATAGCACTAATTATTTATAATCCCCACAAGAGCCCTTCATGTTAGGTATTAGCCACATTTAACAAATGGGGAAACTAGGCAAGAGAGGTGAACTTTCCCAAGGTTAAATAGCTAGTAAGTGACATGAGCCAAATGAAACCCAAATCTGTCTGATTCAAAACAAACCTACTAGCCCAACAGCCTAATTTTTAAAAAAACTGTAGCCTACTCACTATGGATAAACCAAGGCAGCACAGGCTTACAGTAAATAAGCAAGACAATGCAGGGTTTCAAAAGAAATATAGAGTAAAAAAGTAACAAAGCCACTCATTTCTAAAGTTTTATAGTAAAAGAATTAGAGAAGCAAAATGGTAAATGATCAGAGCAACACATCAAAATGTTTAAGATGGAGATCTGTATTCACTGAAGCGAGATGGGAAAGATCAAGGACAGAGACAGAAAAACAGAGAGGCAGAGGGCAGGTGTACAAATAAGCTTAAAAGAGAAACTAAGCACTTCCTCTAAGAAAAAAGATGAGATTCCACAGCTTGTGAGAGAACCAGGGCATGGTGATTATCCTCTGTGAATAGGGAAGAGTGGGCTAGCTAGACCAGGTCTTGAGGACAGACAAGTATAAATGTTCCAAGGTTAAATTAAAATAATCTAATTAAAGACGGCAAGGATTTGTAGAGGGTCAGAATTATGGAATTTTATTTCCTTCTTATGACCTAAGGGACAGCTATTCTAAAGGTCCCTGGATTCAGGGACTGACAGAATCAAGAAGGGCTGATGAATTACTATTAACATATTAAAGTAGGTCATTAACATGGATGTTGAATTCACTTCGGATGATAACATAGGCCAGTATTGAAAGGAAATCTTCAAAGAAAGTGAAATACATCCTGTAATATGCTGATGATTTGGAAAGGATAATCAAATCATGGATATTGACAAAGACTGAGAGGCAGATGAGTAAGGTGGTAAATTAATAAGACTGAAGAGTAAGAAAGGACTAATTCCTTTTAGCCTCACTGAGAAGCTCTTAAAAGGACAAGACTACAGACTATTTTGATGTGAGAGAGCTGCATTTTAAGGCTGAAAATGCAAAAAAAAAAAAAAAAAGGAGCAACAAAACTTCTCAGGATAGAGAAACATATTTACAACAGAAAATGGAAATCATGGAGAGAACAATATTCATCTGGATGGGACTAAGCCACATAAGGGAGAGAGGAGTGGTAGGAGCAAGAGGGAAGAGAGCAAGAAAGATAGTGCCAGAAATGGGGAGATAAGGATTCACAGTGCAGACAACACTGGAGTCATGTTCATGTAGGTGGTGGTGGGGACTGGAACAGAATAACCGTAGGACTCAGGACATAAAAATTTTAAAAATATAGCAAATATAATAAAATATAATTCATTTGAGTGGAAAACATTAATTCCCAAAGTATTAAAAAGTGTCTCCATGCTGTTTCCTGCCCAAGTAACTCTATTACTGAATTTCCACCAATTTCTATTCAGTGACAATTTATTCTAGAGCAAAATAAATACGGCAACAAGTCCAGAGAAGACCTGGATTTAGTAGTACTGTTGAACAGAATTGATATGTTGTTATAGGAGGATTAACTGAACTGTTATTCAGAAATGGGTAGTGATCACTGTCCTGAACCCATCTGCTCATTGTTTCTGATAAACAAAATCATTCATTTAAAAAAAGAAAATGCAAAAACAGTGAGAATACAAAAAAATGATGTACTGATTTATAAACAATATACGTAAATACACAAACTGCCAGTAGAGCAAAGATTATTCAAAGTACCTACATCAACCAGGAGATCTGGGTCTATGCTAAACTGTCTTCCTGACAGCATGGCTTGGAAGTCCTCTAAGCTGCAATCAATACTGTCAAGATAATCCAACAGCTCAACCCTGAGGAAAAAAAGATTTAAAAAAAAATATATCAAATATTAGGTTTCCTTGTTTTTACATTTAAAATCACATTACAAAATTCTTAACCTTAGGAGACCCTATTCAGTATTTGAGATTCCTGAAAATGTGGTTAACTGAGAACTCACAGCCTTTATACAAAACTTTAGTATTTACAGAAAATAGATTCTGCAACACAGTGTGATTTATCTTTTTTCCTCTACACTATAAATTATAAAATGTTTAACTTCTTACTACTGATTAATGCTACTAATTTCTGGTTTCCTTATGCTATAAAGTAAGTCCCTTAATGGAGATTATGTTATTCCACAGTCCTGATAAAAACACAAAATACACATATACACACGCTTTATGGACATTTAAAACAAGTATCTTATTAAAGAAATCTAAGGAATTGCCAAGAAAATTTCAAGACTGCTCCTGGGATGATTAAATCCTTCTCAAAAAAACATTTGCAGAGCTCAGCTCTGACCAAAAGAAAGAAAGACAGATTACATGGGTTCTTAATCTGAAAGGAAAATCATTCAAAGAGAATAGAACATGTGAAGTAAACAAAGAAAGCAAATAAACTCAGATAACATCTAGATGAGCACTCACTTTCCCAGAAGATTGATGTTATCATTTAAAATGGAATCCATCATGGTCACAGGATCTTCTGTGGTCAGACTAGATGAGCCATTTAGCTGGACAGCACTAGACATAAGAGGACTGGTGCCATCACTGCCTGAACTTAGGGATTCTCTGGCTGGTTCATTCTGATCTCCACTCTGAATGACAGGTGCATACTCATCTTCATTGTCATCTTCAACAATGACAATATCAGGGTATTGGCTACAGCTAGATCAGCAATATGAGAAAGAACCAATTACATTTTCAAATGCATTCAATAAATTCATTCTGTCCATTCATTCTCCATGGAAGCTTTCTCCCCAAAACACATATTAAAAGGCTTAAATTTCTTGGGTGAGTAGCTTAACCACAAATATTGATTCATCCTGTGATACGAGACCACAAAGGATGAATTAAAGATGTTTAACTCCAAAATTAAAAAAATCAGAATTCTCATTACTTTTTGTTGGAAGTCTTTTTGCTGAGGGGAGAACATCTGGTTAAATAATTTGGTTTTTCAGTTTAATAATCCAAATATGAGTTACAGAGTAGTATATCATAAAGTGGTTTTGAATTTAGCTCTTTGATAACAAAAGTAACCAATATTTTCACAAATTTTACTTCAAATTTCCTTACTTGGAGGGATCAGATATAACATCCTCATTAGTTTCTGGAATAATTGGGATATTTTCTTCATCTGCGTTATCATCAGTTACATCATAAATGATGATGTCATCTGAAATCCGCTCCCTTGCCTTTAAACCTTCAGTCCTACTGTGTGGAACCTAAAAAAAATCAGGGAAAAAATTTATCAAAAATTGAAAATATATTGACTACCAAACAATATACCATTTAAAAAGTGCTAATTGGAGACCCATTGTTTACTAAATGTTAAGGAAACAATTTAGCTATGTTCTCTGCCCTAACAGGACTCACACTAATTGGTATTCGTATCAATTCACAAAGGTATGAGGTGTGTTACTTTATTCTATTTAACTATTTCTTTTACTGTAAGGAATCCTGAAGATGGCATGCCTCAGAATGATTCCATGAAAGATCCTCACATTTTAAAGTATTTTTTATATCCAAAGGGTTAAAAAAAGTCTTAAAACTTCACCAGGAATTTCAAGCATAACCAGATGGCCACTGTGCTGAAGAGGATAATTTTATCTCAAGCTACTCTATTGACATATGGTTTATTCTTTCTTATTAAATGCTTTCATTAATAGGAAAAAAAACCATTACAAGTATTCCACAGTTAAAAGTCAGCCTGAATTTTTAGCAATAATTTTTTTTATTCTGCTACAGATATATTCAGATCATAGGTACCTAAATAAAAGAGCATTCAATTCCTTAAAGCAAATTAAGCTATTATAATGCAAAAATCCATAAATCTCAACAGTAGATAAATCTGAGGTAAAAGATGTAAAGTACTTAAAAATATATAAATCCAGTTAAATTAAGAAATCTTCATCCATTTACATTGAGTCTTCAATCCTAAAAACACAATAGGTATGCTTACTTAAAAATAGTGGGAAGAAAAACCTGATATTAACTCCGATTTGCTGAAGAAAAAAAATTTTGGTACTTTATTAACAAATCTGAAGCAGTATTTAGAATTCTAAGATTTGAATGTAGCAATGACAATCATCTATTAAAAGAAGTGTAGACTCTGGACTGAACTGATTTGCCAACTGTGTAAGTTTGACAAATGATCCAGAGAGTCCACGACAAAAATAAAGGTAAACAAAAATGTTTTGCAACTGCTAAAAAGTCTAGTCTACGCAATTTATAATAAAAGTTGGAAACAACTTAAAATAACCAATGGATAAATGAGTAATTACATTATAATATTCAATTGATATCAGGTAGTAGTTCAGATGATCTAATCTGTTTAAAATCTCAAAAGCAAAACCAAATGAAAAAGTCACAATGCAAAATGGTATCATTTATATGAAGTTTAGATACATACAAAATAATACCAAATATTGTTCATGAATTCACACATATAAAATGACCATGGGGATGATAAATACTAATTCAAGGTAATGATTATCTAGGAGAGACTGAAGAGGAGGCAAAAAACAAACTTGGGAACAGGCAACTAAAACAATTATATTTATAATAGTTTATTTCTTAAAATAATCTAAAGCAAGGAATAAAAAAATGTCATGATTAGATAAAACTGGAGCATGAGCACTTAGATTATTCACTGAACTTTGAATGCAAATTCTGAATTCATGAAATACTGCATACTGTAATAAAAATTGGTTTGAGATAACAAATATAAAATAGAATTTAAACAAAAAATTACTTTATGATGGTGATTATCAGCTGGTTCTTTGACTATATGCTGAAACAGATTCTTCTTTTGGGCTCCATTAGTGTTTAGAAGTAGAGGCCTGAAAATCAGAATATATTCATGAAATTCAGTGAAGCAAACATATAAGAAATTTCAACTGCTCCTAATATTTTACCCTCCCATGAATATACACACTTTAATAATAAAAGATTTCAGTTAGTGATACACAATGAATTCTTAAAAATGGTCACATCTTAGGAACAGAAACTAGGAGATGACTGTGTCTAGGGCTTTGATTTCACCATTCTTTTGTGCTATTTTTGTTAAATACAATAAACTACTCTCTCTGGATATACTTCATTGCTGACTGAACTGTATCACTCTTTATGAACTGTACTTACATAATAAAAAGTAAGCAGATGATGTAAGAACTAGTTTGTGGAAGTTGACTTAAGGCCATAGCATAAGGTGTAACCATAACCAAGCTTTGCTAAAACTTTAGTCTTACAAGATAAGTTTTTTCTCCAACTATTCCTTTGTCCACTATCCTTCCTAAGCTTTAGTTGTGACAATGGCAGTTACTAACACTTTCCGGTATCACAAGCCATAGTCAATATATAGGTTTTTAAATTCCTTATTAGTGGATTAAACATGAGAGATTAAGTAAAAAGGTTTTGATTTTTTTTCAATATATGACCTTCTTTTAAGAGTTTCCCTCACGCAAGCCTTCTAATGTTACATTAAACTGCTAATGTGAATAAAAATGGATTCCTTATTAACTATGTATGTATCTGTAAAGTGACCAGTTAGGCTATCCTTGTCTCTGAAAAACATTAGCAGGATGACAGCAGGAAGAAATAACACTACTCTTGAAATGCTGAGAGTATAATTTAACAAGGAAGGACTGTTCATCTGGGACAACAGACATACACTAAGCAAATGTAGGCCATGCATAGTTAAGCACTAAAATGTTTAGTTGTCCATGAATAGGTCAAACGAAGTGTTTTACAACAAAAACTTACCTTTTACGTTTTAAACTCACAAGTTGGTTATTCTGAACCAATGTAACAATAAACTGGACAATCTAAAAGGAAAATATAAACAAAAAATTTTCCATCATAGATTCCTCTAATTCTTTAGTCCATATTACAAGTCTTATAAAATTAATTCAAATACATATTTTCTATTCTAAACCACATAATTTCTCACATGTTAACAAATTTGAAATCTTGGGTGCATCTTACAATTGTTATATAAAGAAATAATCAGTTTCCAGGCAGAAGAATAACCTGTGATAAAATAAAAGCTGCAGCTACCTATGATACCAAGATGCCTAAGACGTTCATCTATCCATCCATCCATTCACCCACCCATCCATATATCTACCCAATACTCAGCTCAGTTACTTGTTTTGATGCTAACAACCAAGCATGCCCGGATACAGATCCCAAGTTTGTACCAAAAAGGAAAAAAAAAGTGACAGGCAACATTTTTCTTAACCCAGGTAATACAATTTGAGGCAAAAGAGACCGCCAGCTCTTTCAGAAGAGAGCATAAAATTTTCAAGGTAGGAAAAGCTTCTTGGCTTATTCTAGAAAAATTATTGCTTAATTAAAAATACTGTCATGGGATCCCTGGGTGGCTCAGTTGGTTAAGCATCTGCCTTCAGCTCAAGTCATGATCCCAGGGTCCTGGGATCATGGGCTCCTTGCTCAGCGGGGAGTCTGCTTCTCCCTCTGCCCCTCCCCGCAGCTCATTCTCTCTCCCTCTCTGACACATAAATAAAAGGTTTAAAAAAGAATATTGTCATGAAATATTTAATTATACAGCAACAGAAATAAACCCCAAAATACAGCAACTAGGGGTTATCCAAAAATAAATTCACAATTTTAAAGTTAGAATACATATACTTTTTTCAAATAAACAATGAATAGATTTTGTTTTGGAGGGTGTTGCTCCTAAACATCCAAGATACCCACAGGGCCAATCAAGAGAAGTTGGTTTAATCTTCAGAGCTTGATTAAATTTAAAAGTACTAAACCGATCAAGACATGCAAACAATCTTTCATATTTTATGACAGTGTTTCTTAAAGTGTGGTCCATGGACCAGCAGTATTAGCCCAGGAACCTATTAGACACACAAATTCTCAACCCCACTCTGGAATTGCTGAATCTGAAATTCTGAGGACAGGGTCCAGCAATGTATGTTTAGCAAGTCCTCCAGGTGATATTGATGTGAATGTGAGAATCACTGGCTTAGGGTATACCTTGAAATTTATTGTCATCTTCCTGAAGAAGCTAAAAAGGTGAGGATCATATGGTGAACTATGAAAAGCAGTATATCACTGAGAGGCTATAAATAAAGGCCAAAAGGGACTGGAGGACTATTTAGGCTCTTTGCAGAAAAGTTAAACAGCATTAGAGTCATGAAAAGGAAATTAGCCACTAAATTGTTTATTCAAAAGAAAATGTTGACTGACGGCTGATGAAAAGACAAATTTAAGCTTAAAGGTACCTATGAAATAATTTGGCTTCAGTTACTTCTGTTAATTTATAAATGTTATAGAAAAATTCTAAAAACATTAGTGGTTGAATTTATAAGAACATGAAGCACTGGCTAAATTTCTCCTGAAATTTGTTCTACATATTAGTTCTCTTATGACAATTCTGCATCACGCTGTACAAAGCTTCCTTCCTGAAGGAAAAGATAAGACATCTAACATTTACGGCATCTAACTTCTGGACCTGACAAGTTCTATTAACAGGTACTATTATCCTATTCTGTAACAAATACCTATACCAGGTAACTCACACACACTATTCCAACTAATCCAAGGCCAAGGAGTAAAATGACAGATGTATGAAGCAATTCCAGGAATAGAGAAAAGATTATCAGTTATCACTATGCATTATGAAAACTCCCTAGAGCTCCACCAAACCACATATATTCAAACTCAAATTTGAACAGACTGTTAGCTTTCATGAAAAACTGAAATGTTATATAAGTATTTTACCAAGTTTCTTTGCTTTTAGGAAAAAAATTATATAGTATTATAAGCCAATATCTAACTATAAAACATCGTTTTCTGGAAAAGTTGAGAAGATTTTTTAAAAATAAAGTACAGGTTTAATAAAGTACACCTATCGTTTTAAATCAGGTATTCTTAACAGAATCAGCTCTGGAAGTTGTGAAAATATATGCACTTGGACTAAACACTTAGAACTGAATTCTACATTCAACCCTCACTTGCATACTGATTTGAAAAGGAAAAAAAAAAAACAAAACACCAGTATACCTATTTTGACTACAGGCCAAAGACTGCAACCATTCATCTCTGTTCTAAGCCTGCTCCACTAGACCCAGATCCTGTCATAACCCTATTTTTAGCTAAAGGCATCTCAGCACAAACCAAGTGAAGCACTCCCACCCTTCCTCCCCCACAAAAACCTGTTGCTTATACTTAAGAGTCTAGTTTACTCATGAGCAAAAAATAGCTGCCTTAATTACTTTTATGTTTCAAGTCTTATTAACATATGAAAGCTGATATGAAAAGACTAAATCACAAGGACACAAGGCAACTGTGAGATTTTCAGTTCCCCCAGTAATTTTCAGCTCAGATACTAAAATCTACAATTTATTTTACAACACACTACTTTAACTGCTTTTCCATAGAGACTAATAATGGCATACACTGATAACTAATTTTTTTGAACTCATAATTTGGTCAACTGATTTGAAAATTTTAGTCATTTGTCTTCTAAGACCATATCTATGCCTTTTCAAGTAAAAAAAAAAAAAAGTAAAAACAATAACAACAGGGCGCCTGGGTGGCTCAGTTGGTTAAGCGACTGCCTTCGGCTCAGGTCATGATCCTGGAGTTCCGGGATCGAGTCCCGCATCGGGCTCCCTGCTCAGCAGGGAGTCTGCTTCTCCCTCTGACCCTCTTCCCTCTCATGCTCTCTCTCTCTCTCATTCTCTCTCTCAAATAAATAAATAAAATCTTTAAAAAAAAACAAAAAACAATAACAACAAACCCACACAGTAAGGCTGTCATTCATAGTAAAAAATGTAAAGAAACTGGTAGTTTTCTTTCTATTATGTTCCTAAAAATAAAGTATCTTTAAAGTTGTTTTATCAGGCTAAAGGTCACTTACTAAAAGCTAATGAGACTCAAGCTGAGAGTATGGAATAACAATATTTAGCTAATGAGAAATGTTTCTTATTAAAAAGAAAATGCAACAGTTGACCTAATTTGTTTGATTTCGTAGTTTCACTACTATATGTGAACCTAATATAAAAGAAGCTAAGATCAATCATTATTCAACAGAGGCTTTTTTGGGTCACAAATGGAACACAAATTAAACAAAGGCAGATTGTGGTCATGGGGGAAAAAAGCTTACCTTTCGAATAACTTGTTGCTGTTGTGCGTGTTTTGCTCTTAATTCTGACACCTCCTTCCATAGAGACTCATTCTCACTATGTTATCATTTTTTAAAAAACAAAACAAAATTTTGTCAGAAAGCCAGACGTCAAAATCTTTAATTAAGAATACCAGGGAAATTTGCTATATATTTTCATGAAATTGGAAAAAATCTGGTTCAATTACATAAAATGGCAACTATCTTGACACAACTCCAGAATCATCCCTTCATAACTACAGTACTTTCTACTCATGGCAATATAAACACAAAAATGTAAGACTCATGCCTATATCCATATAGTAGCAGGCAATTTACTTCTCTGACAATGTGGTTCATTAATTCTTGTTTAAAAAATAAACTAACCTTTCAACTATGGCTACCAAGTGAATTTAGGACTTGCGCTGAGAAAAGAATTCTTAAAGGGAGTGACATTTACCCAGCACTACCTGTGCTCCAGGGATTATGCTAAGCATTTTATGTCTATTTCTTATTTAAACTTCTATAAAATCAGTCAAGAAAGGAATTATTTATTTTATAGAGGAGGACAATGAGACCCAAGAATTGCAAGGACTTGCCTAAGATCACACAGATTATTTGTAGTAAGTGTTGAAGTCGATCAGGTCCTAAAACTATCTTAAAATCTGTTTCAAACATACGAAAACACTAAAAAAAGTTTTTTTAAAGCATGTCTAAATATATGACAAACCAATAACTGGCCTAGTAGTAACAGTTTCTTTTCCTTCATTAACTTTTATTGAAATTGCACTGTTCTGTTACTAAATGTTAGCAGCAACGATAACACTGAGAAGGCATGAAAGATAATTCACCTATTAAATACTTTAATTTTTGCTCTTGTTAATTTCCATAATATCCATCTTCCTCAAGCCAAACTCTTACGAAAGGGACTTCTATATCTTACATAAAGAAGATCTTGAAAATAAAACTTTAATACTTACTGAATAACTAGGGTATTTTCTCTGACTCAGATATTTAAAGATAATACTATCATCTGCCTACTAAACATAAGTAGAATGGTTACCTCTAAAACTTACAGGATGAATCTGGGATCCCATTCCTTAAGGGCTAAACCTGAGATTCAAGGAACTGGGTCAAAGGGCACCTCAGGAGACACAAGATACATACAATAAACTGGCATAAGTGATTACATAAAATATGCAAAATGGGACAGCTTAAAATTAAGCTTTATTCAAAAAGGGAATCAAAGTTCAAGGTTACTCTTTTAATGAAGACACTTAAGACAGCTAAACTAATGTCCCACATTTGAAATGGGAGAGAGAATCCATAAAATAACTACTCTCAAGACCTCAGCCCCTTTTAGGATAAGAGAAAATCCCAACCACTTACTAAGGAAAGTACACATCTACTCTATATACAAGTTGTTACTGTGGCGAGTAATGGTGACAAGAACTGCAATAAAGCAAAAGCATGTTTCTATAATAAAAGTTTTGAATAATGCTTTACCACATCTAGGTAAGATAAATACCAAGTAAGGCAAGTCTCTTGCATCCTTTTTCCCTATTTTTTATGTCTTATTTTTTCCTAAGAGATAGACCACATAGAAAAGTTTTATGAAACCACCATAAAGAATATATGAGTAACGTGTAGTGTTTTTCAATGGCTTGTATGCCTTCATGTGTGTGAACATCATATGAAAACTAACCTAAGCAGAATCGTATTTCCTACATCGATTTAAAGATCTATTGTTTCATCAGTGGGACTTGTGCATCAATTGTTTTAAATGCCCAGATTTATAAATTCTTTTGAATACTGTCAAGAAAATATAACACTGAGGTAAAGTCAAGGGCTACAAATCAAAACTAAAAGGAACCAATACTTAGAGAAAAATGACCTTTTACCTTGGCTTCAACAATGTGATCTAAGTACTTAAAACACTAACCTTCAACCCCCAACACACACATACCAACCCCTATATTAAGATTATATTTGGAAATAATACTTTACCTTTTTAATTCAGAAAGCCTGGACTCAATAGTTTCTTGTTTTATTTGAACCTTCTGAGCACTACTTATAATTTTTGTTAAATCTTCCTGACGAATCTTATTTTCTTCTGGTTTTGAAGATGAAACCTTTTGAAAGCAAATTTAGGAAATCAAATACTAAACACCATGTTTTTAATTCAAAGTTTCCCTACTGTGTTTTGTAGCCCATTCAGGAACTCAGATTTAGTTCCAAAACGCCCAGGACAGGATTCTATAAAAAGAATAAACTCCAGGGGCGCCTGGGTGGCTCAGTTGTTAAGCATCTGCCTTCGGCTCAGGTCATGATCCCAGGGTCCTGGGATCAAGCCCCGCATCGCGTTCCCTGCTGGGCGGGAAGCCTGCTTCTCCCTCTCCCACTCCCCCTGCTTGTGTTCCTGCTCTTGCTATCTCTCTCTCCCTGTCAAATAAATAAATAAAATCTTTAAAAAAAAAAAAAAGAATAAACTCCAAGACAGAGAATAAGAAATAATCAATCTTTTTTTTTTTTTTTAAATGTGGAGAAGTTTCCACAAGCAGGAACAACTTAGGGACTTTTTTTTCATTCCCTTTCACCAAACTCACTGTAATTTCCCCAAGCCTCTTTATTATCACATTCCACGTTTAATTAAATTTATGCAGTAACAGCTGCACACTGGGCCGTTTTCTTTCATGGTCCGTTACTCTTTTATCCCCCTTTTTTGTGGATTTAGTAAAAATATTTTATTTCAGCAAAAGATACCATTCATTAAAAAATGTATTATTAAATGCTTACTATATGCAAGGGACTTACTTATTCTCAGTATTGGATATTCAGCAGTGAACTACAGAAAAAGCCCTCCAAGGGAGTCAACATTTAATAGGAGCTAACATTTTTTAAGCTAAATTGGAAGGAGTGACCCATCCCAATATGGATGATTGCTCACCCTCAGTCAGAGTGTAAACATTTTCCTTCCCTCTAGAAGAGAAAAAATATAAAATAGAAGGAAATAATTAAAGCTTTATTAGTCTAAGCCATCCCAACAGGGAATACCTGTGTATTTCTATACATTCTTAATTTCAACAGGTGAAATACTGTGTTGGCCAAGTATGCTATATGGTAATGCCTTAAATAAATCACATTAACAAGAGCTCACCTTCCTTTTAATGTTCTCCAACAAGTCATCCTGGCCTTGTTTGAAGTAAGGATGCTGAAATTCAACAGGACCATCTCGTTCCTGCTTTACAATTCCAGAGTCAATATGCACAACCTTACGGAAACCATCTGAAAAAGATTAAAAATTTAGATGACTAAAACAGACAAAAAGCAAATAATTTCCCTTTCTATTATCAACGTAATGGGAAAAAATGGTTTAATCAGTGGCTGATGACAGTACTCCAAATAAACTACTGCCCGTACTCACACATATTCAGTTGCCTCACAAAGCTTGCCATATTATTGTGCTTGAAATATTTGGGAAGAATTTCTTTTGCAAATCTTTGTTCATCCAAAACCAGAAAACTCTGGCCATTCTGAAAAAGAGAGAAAAACTCAATTAACTGAAGTCCTCTTAGGTGATACAATATGAACCCCAAAACTGGGCAGTCCTTCCACGATACTTTTAGATCCACATTTTATTCCTATTAACAGCAACAAGAAACAAACTATAATTAACTGCCAAACTGTAATTAAGCTTTTTGATGTCAACCTCAGAAGTTCAGAAATATGTCTAAAACCAAAAGCTGCATCACGCACTATGGTGAAATATTAGAATTTCCATTAAATCAGAAACAAGAAAAGAAATACTGTAAGTAAGCAACATAATTATTTAACACTGTTTTAAAACCAATGCAATTAGGGGCGCCTGGGTGGCTCCGTCGTTAAGTGTCTGCCTTAGGCTCAGGTCATGATCCCAGGGTCCTGGGATCGAGCCCCGCATCAGGCTCCCTGCTCAGCGGGAGCCTGCTTCTCCCTCTCCTACTCTCTCTGCTTGTGTTCCCTCTCTCGCTGTGTTTCTCTCTGTCAAATGAATAAATAAAATCTAAAAAAAAAAAAAAAAATGCAATTAGACAAAAATAGACAAAATTTAAGAGAAAGTCATATTTTATCATTATTTGCAACAGACATATCTTTGCACAATCAAGTGAAAAACTGTAAAAAAACTTTCAGTAAAATGTCAGGTTAATAATTAATATTTAAAGTCACTAGTGTTTTTCCATACAAAAAAATAATTTGAAACTTACTATAATACAGTATCAAAACAGCACAATACTGGCATAAACACAGAGAGACAGACCAATGGAACAGAATAAAGAACCACCAAATACACCCTTACATAGAAGGTCCAAAGATTTTTGACAAGAGTACCAAGACCATTCAAAGGGGAAAGGAGAGTTTTCAACAAACTATGCCAGGAAAACTGGATACTCATGTGCAAAAGAACAAAATTTATCTTACACCATATATAAAAATTAACTCAAAATGGATCAAAGACCTAAACGTAAATGCTAAAACTATAAAAATAGTAGAAGAAAACATAAGGGGGAAAAGCTTCATGACACTGGATTTGGCAATGATTTCTTCGTTAACATCAAAGGCACAGGCAACAAAAGCAAAAACAGACCACTGATGCTACCTCAAACTTAAAAACTTGTGCGAAGAACACTATCAATAGAGTGAAAAGGCAACCCACAGAATCAGAGAAAATATTTGCAAACTGTTTAACTGATAAGGGATTAATATCCATAATAAAGAACTTCTACAACTCAACAACAAAAAAGAAACAACCCAATAAGAAATGGGCAAAGGACTTGAACATTTTTCCAAAGAACATATACAAATGGCTAATAAATGCATGAAAAAATGCCTTACGTATCACTAACCATTAGGGAAATGAAAACCAAAACCATAATCACCACTTCATACCCCTTAGGATGGGAATTATTTTTAAAAAAACACCAAATAAATTGAAAATAAGTGTTGGAGGAATTGGAGAAATTAAAACATTGCTGGTGGAAACGTGAAAAATAGTGCAGCTGCTATGGAAAACAGTACGGTGGTTCCTCAAAAAACTAAACACGGAATTACTACATAATCCTGCAATTCTATTTCTATGTATAATCCCAGAGAACTGGGCAGGTACTCAAAAAGATATTTGTTTTTTTTTTTTTTTTAAAGATTTTATTTATTTATTTGAGAGAGAGAGAATGAGAGACAGACAGCACAACAGGGAAGAGGGTCAGAGGGAGAAGCAGACTCCCCGCTGAGCAGGGAGCCCGATGTGGGACTCGATCCCGGGACTCCAGGATCGTGACCTGAGCCGAAGGCAGTCGCCCAACCGAGTCACCCAGGCGCCCTCAAAAAGATATTTGTATACCTATGTTCATAGTAGCATTATTTGCAATAGTCAAAAAGTGGAAGCAACACAAATGTCCACTGACAGATGAACAGATAAACAATTTGGAATATACACACCTTAAAAAGAAAGGAAATTCTGTCAGGTGCTACAACATGGATGAACTTTAAAGACACTATGCTAAGTGAAATAAACCAGCCACAAAAGGACAAATACTGTACTATTCTACTTATATGAGATATCTAGAATAGTCTAATTCACAGAGACAGAAACAGAATGGTTATTAGGGGCTAGGAGGAAGGAGGACTTGGAAACTATTGTCTAATGAGTATGAGGTTTCAGTATGGAAAGGTGAAAAACATTTTGGAGAGAGATGGTAGCGATGGCTGCATAATAATGTAAATGTACCTAATGCCACTGAACTGTATACTTAAAACTGGGTAAAATGGTTAATTTTATGTAAGGCATATTTTACCATAACAATTTAAAACTAAAGTAAAATAAAAGATTCCAATAACAGAAAAAATGTCACATATCTAAAGATAAATCTTAAAAAATATACAGGACATTTAAGAGAATATTAAACTATAGAGGGACAAACATAGTACTGTAGAGCTGTCAATTCTAATTAACCAATATATTCGCAATAAATTCTCAATCAAAAAAATTTTTGGAGAGGAGGTGGAGATGCTAACACAACCAAATATTAGGGATCAAGTGTAGTATCTGTTCTTATCAGTTTAAAGTTCACTTGTAAAATAATTATATAACAATAAGCAAGAAAATACTAAAAACAATGAAAAAAGAGGTATTAACCCTATCCTATAAAAGTGGTACAATTATAGTGTTTACAAAGTTTCATACTAAGGAAGAGATAGTAAAAAATAAATAAATAGATTAGAGAGACAGAAGCAGCAGCAAATCTATTTAAGAATTTGTAACAGGTAATAAGTACAGGTAACATTCAAATCAGGGGGGAAAATCAGGAGAAAAAAGATTATTAGTTCATGAACTCTCCATTTGGAAAGCAAAAAGCAAAAGCTCAATGCTAACTCACTGCTCAATCACTCTTTACAACCAAGCTTTTGGAAGTATGATGTAAACCTAAGAAGTCATACTGGTAGGGGCACCTGGGTGGCTCAGTCGTTAAGCGTCTGCCTTCGGCTCAGGTCATGATCCCAGGGTCCTGGGATCAAGCCCCGCATCGGGCTCCCTGCTTGGTGGGAAGCCTGCTTCTCCCTCTCCCACTCCCCCTGCTTGTGTTCCCTCTCTCTCTGTGTCTCTCTCTGTCGAATAAATAAATAAAATCTTTAAAAAAAAAAAAAAAAGTCATACTGGTAAGTGGTAAGAATTTATATTTATTCATGGAAGCTGCTAGCTGCCTACCCTATTTCCAAATTCCTCTACTTACCTTTTCTATTTTAAAACTAAAATAGCATATTTTAAAGGTGTACAGCATGATTTAATATATTTACATAAAAGACTACTACAGTCAAGCTAATTAACATACCGTCTCCATCAAGCTAAAAAGCCTCTGCAGAGCAAAAAAAAACAACAAAATAAAAAGAAAACCGAACAGAATAAGAGCATTTGCAAGCAATATATCGGATAAGGGATTAATAATCCAAATACGTAAGGAACACATACAACTCAATAGCCAGACAAAAAACAAAAAAAGACACCAATTAAAAAAGAACCCAAATAGACATTTTTCCAAAGATACAGAAATGGCCAACAGGTCTATGAAAAGGTGCTCAACATCACTAATCATCAGGGAAATTCAAATCAAAACCACAATGAGGTACCCACTTCATATCTGTTAGGATGGCAATTATTAAAAAAATAAAAGATAACAAATGTTGGCAAGGACGTAGGGAAAAGGGAATTTTCATATACTGTTTGTGGTAATGTAAATCAGTATAGCCATTACGGAAAAGAGCATGAAGATTCCTCAAAAAAATAAAAAATATAACTACCACATGATCCAGCTACCCCTTTCTTGGGTTTACACCCAAAGGAAATGAAATCAGTATCTCAGAGAGTTATCTATGCTCCCATGTTCATTGCAGCATGATTCACAATAGCCAAGATATGAAAACAACCTAAGTGTCCCTCAATGGAAGAATAAAGAAACTGTGATACACACACACACACACACACCAGAACATCATTTAGCCTTAAAAACAAAGAGATCCATTTGCAAAAACTTTCTTACTAACAGAACCACAATTTTGTTTGATGCTGCAACTACATTTCTCAGTCCCCCTGACAGAGGCAGCCGAATACACACTTGGCAATTAAGATATAAACAGAATGGACTGAGTAGGGCTTCCAGAAAAGCTTCTAAAAGGGGAAAGATCCAAAGTGTCAAACCCCTATATCCCATATCCCTGCTTGGAACTTGAAGCTAATGAGTAGAACTTCTACCACCACTGAGGTGGAGAAACTAAGTATGGCTGAAAAGACCAGAACGCATCGTCAGACTTAAAAAGAAAATACATCTCTATTTAAACCACTGTTTGGATTTTTTTTTTTTTTTTTTTAAGATTTTATTATTTGACAGAAAGAGAGAGAACAAGCAGGGGGAGCGGCAGGCAGAAGGAGAAGCAGACTCCCCGCTGAGCAGGGAGCCCGATGCAATACATGGCCCATCCCAGGGTCCCCACATCATGACCTGAGCCAAAGGCAGATGATTAACCAACTGAGCCACCCAGGTGCCCCTATTGTTTGGAATTCTATTATTTGTGTCTGAAACTAAACCTAACTCAGAGTTATTATAAAAATTCAATTAAGTCAATTAACATAAAAATATTTTAAATATTTATGACAACTACATTAATTAAAAATTTTTAACAAATCAGTAAGATGAGAAACCCAATGTAAAATTTAGAAGAGGCCCAATCTCATAATAACTGAATGTACAGAAAACAAATAATGATTTTCACTTATTAGACTGGCAAAATTTTAAATGTGTGATGATAATCAGAGTTGGTTAGTAGGGAGTAACTATTAAAAATTAAAATGCATGTTTTTCCTATCTTAAAAAAAACCTTCCCTTTACCTTACTTCCCTCTCAATCTACCCACCCCATTTGTCTTTTCCTTCACTGCAAAATTTAACAAATATTTCAAAGCCCCCTTCTCTAATTTAGTACCATCTACATATTCTTGCTAAAAC